TTTCATGCAATTGCGAATACTGCATCAGTTCAATCGAATAATTCCGTAGAAGGTTCGAGAATGCAGCTTTTTTGACTTTTATTTTTTTCTGGGGCTACTTGAGTCTGCCTTCTCAATGGTTTTCCAGTTCATTTGGGTTAGCGTACCACGGTAATCTTCTCACATAAAAAACGGTCCTTGTTCGCGACATACAAAAATTTGTTCAGGGTCATTCACAGGGGGAGGGGGAATTGGGATTTTTGAAGAACTACTTTGTACAACTAAGACCCGTAGAAGCTCGTATGTTATGATACAAATCATACACAGGAGGGCGCTGATTCAATCCCGCCGCCTACCCACGCAGCAGTTTCTCTAGGCACCGTACGCTAAGGCATACGAATGAAAACGCTCCGTCTTTTGACGTGAGCGTTCTTCACAGACATATGATACGGCCCCTGGAGAGAAAAATCATGGAAGCGCGGGAGATATACCGCATCAGCCAGCAATATATCAAGCCAGAAATAAATGCGAAAGAAGAGCTACGTGACCTTCTGAGGCTTTTGACATGATCAGTGAGCTCCTTTCCCTCAGGATTGGCGTCTCATTTTCATTCCCGAGCCACCCCGATAGGCCCCCCTCTTCTTTTCTCCTTTCTGGTATGTGTCGATGCAACATGTCCTTTGTCTTGTAGTTGTTGATTTGTAATTATTGTAATTTAAGGTTGGTCTGATGATGGCATTATTGCCGAAAGCTCACCAATAAATATAAGACCAAGAGCTTCAAGAGCATCTTAACACAGTATACAAATGCTTCATTATGTAACCTGGCTTTCAAAATATGAAAACCATAGCATCAGGACCTGCAAAGATTTGTGGTAGAATAAACGTGCTTAGGGGGGGGGGGGGACTCATGCTCACTTCTCCGAGGGTATAGCTGCTAGCTCCGAGTAACGCTATCTAGTTTGAATTACTTGTGATTGCAATTCGTTCTGACTGTTCGAGATCGATATTTGATATATTTCTTTTTGAAATATATTACGCATAGAATGTCGAAAATAATGTCGGAACAATGTAGTTCATTTTTGTTCTCATTTTTTATCAGAATTTTTTCTTACCGTCGTTCTATTTCAGGTATGCACAATCGAGAGGTTGTGGAGCAAGTGGACATTGGCTATCGTATGCCAATGCCTCGCGGTTGCCCTGAGCAAATCTATAACGAGGTTTGTACGAGTCGTCTTGTTATGCATTAGGGTCTAATCATACCATAGAGCACCGCTAATCTAATATTGGATGAATGCAATTGTTGCTAAATTGTAGGTTATGCTGAAGTGTTGGGATAAGGTTCCGGAGCGGCGGCCGACATTCGACCATCTGTTCCACTTCTTCGACGATTATTTTGTTTCATCACAGCCGAATTACGTTCCTCCCAGTGTTTAGGCATTTTTGATTTCTGATAATTGTTTGTGTTGTTTCACTTATTTCGAATTCCTAACCTCAACCATATGCATAGTTATCTGGGTTCATAGAAGGGTCGCCACTGCCGCCGGCCACACTTGCTGTGAATAATAATACTCGCCGATTGCCAGTTCCATCTGCCAGGGGTCTAAAACATGGACTAGTTATTGAACGTTGTTTACGAATGTATTATAATCTGCATGTCGTGCATTATATCATGTATATATTACTTTGTTGACTATTCATGTGCTGCTGCTACGGCTGCCCTCATTCCTACCGCCGCCGTCCCCTAACGGTTACGTTCTAAAATTTGTGGTGCGTTTTTTTTTCTTACCAAGCTTACTGTTTACACGATAAAAGCAGAATTTCCCTGTCAGCGCGATTGTGAGAATATTGCTGCGATCAAACTTAATCATATAATATATTGTGTTCCGTGCGATCTGCGTTTGTTATTTCTGCCATAACAGAGACATTGTGTTCAATTATGTTGTCATGTTATCATATAGACATAATTAATATTGGTCAAATTTGATTAAGATGAATTGATTTGTGATAACTGAGGCGATGTAGTGGATGAATGAACGGTGGTGATTGAGGCGAGAAAGAATTTGCGCTGACATCTAATCCTGTTTACGCCCTCCGTTTAGTGCGCATGTCTGCGCGGCGGCTGCACGCTGAAAGCGAGTCGGCCCGCCTCAGCCATTGAGCCGCGAACGATTGCCATTCTGGCGGCTCTGCCGACTTTCAGTTTTTTTTTGTCGTTTTAGTATCTTTTTCTGCAATTATTGTTTGCATCCTTGTGAAGGATGGAGGGTGCCGTTCAGTTTCTCATCATCTTTTAGCCAAAATACTTGTGTAAAGGGGGTGACCATTTCTTTATCAGTTCAATCGCAATAATTCCAGCCATATCTTAAGTTTGTTCATTCACGAAGCTGGCACTGGATGGTCTCTATGTGCCATGTATTCATTCTCATCATCGAGTTTGAAGTTATTGAGCGAAAGCTGTTTTTGACAGAACCCTGGCGGTCATCCTGTTCCAATGTATAGTCAAGAGATTTGATATTTGGATATATTTCAACTGCTCTTCTGTGGTTGCTTGCCTTGATTCCTCTATAATACAGTGCGCGTCAATTGTTTATGCCACCCCCTGATTTTTTCAGTTTTCTGACTTATTTGGAAATTTCGTAAATCGGCATAGCAACCATCGTTTTCGGCGTGTCGGAAAACTAGAATGGTGTTGTTTGATTTTGGTTAACGCGTGGATTTGAATTGCTCTGTTCTTTTGAAGAAAATGGGCCGCGTCAATTGCTTATGCCATCCTAAAGTTTCTTCAGAATTTCTCATGTCTCTAACGCTATTCAGCTACGGTGTGCATGTAATACAAATGAGAAAATCCTCGACTTATGCAATGCACACAAAGGTGGCAGGCATTTATACCGAATTAAGTCTCGAAATACTAGCCCTTAATATACTAGACAGGTTGACAGCATGAACCCTTCCTGAAAAAGGGACCAGGCAAAATGGGAGGAAGTTTAGGTGCTCAAGGAGCTCCTTAGAATTCTCATTTTCCCGCTTCGAATCCGTGGTCAACTTTATTTGTGGTCTCGGTCCCGGCGGAAGCTTGAAGCGTTCACGCTCACGAAGTCTCTGTTCAGAGAGAATATGAGAGAGAGACGATGAGTGCACCACTCACATCGGAGTCAACCCTACGATTTGTGCGAGTTAAACAAACGGAGGGGCGTACGTAACCTCTTAAGTAGGAGACAGGGGGGGGGGGTCGCACTCATTTTTAGTCGCTCGAATCACGTGTGGATTGAGTTGAACTAAGAATTTAGCGGAGCCCCGCTCGATCATGGATTTTTGGGCAGAGAAGAAGATGGAGATGGTGAGTGTTGTGTAGGTGTATATATATTGTGGGTTCGTGTGATGAAAGGCAGTCTCGTTGGGTGTGATGATTGGGGCTTGGTGTTTGGTTGTGGTGTGGTTGGTGTTCTAGTTAAAAGGTTTCGAAAGGTGTGCAGTACTCGGATAATAGGCAGGACCCGCTACAATGCGCCTGATATCCGTCGATTTCGGGGCTCGATAGTTTTGGTCGGATTTTCTCTGGAAAAATTTTCGTACCGAGCGAGCGAAAATGATGACATGGGCCAGTTGTAACTTGAACGGGACACCGAAGTGGTGGCATGGGCCATCATTGCATCGCCTTGATAAGAAAACTTCGATCGAGTTCAGTGATGGGTACCAGACGGGTAGTAGGTACGAGTCATGTTCTCTCTAAAAAGGAGACTATGTAGCGTGAACGCGTGAACTGCGCCAGGGTCCAAGCAGGGTCAACCCTACGTTGTTACTAGTAACAACGGGGGTCGTACTTGGTTGAGTTTGTAGGAGGGGGGTCGTACCCGTTTCAGTCGCTTGAAATCACATGTGAGTTTGAGGTGAAACTGAAGTTTTTATGGGTAGGTAGGTTGGGTGAGTTGAGGGGCGCAGGAAAAAAATGTAAGCCGGTAGAAGTAGAGTAAAATGGCGGAGATATAGGAAATTTTTACTGTTTCAGAGTATACCCCCCCCCCCCGCTCGACGGCATTTTTGGAGGAAAAAGTGGGCGGAGTTTGGTGGGTTGAGTGGTATCAGAATTAAATACTATAGAGGAATATGGTGGTCGAGGTGTGGAAAAGGGGGTCGTAAAAATTTTTCAAAAAGTAACAACGATAGGGTTGACCCTGGAGCCAAGACCACAAACAAAGTTGACCACGGATTCGAAGCGGGAAAATGTGAATTTAAGGGCTCCTTGAGCACTTCAATTTCCCCAGTTTTGCCTGGATACACTCCTCGATGAGTTCTACAATAAGCAGCAGGAGCGATCGCAAAAGTGAGCACACAGCTCTTTCTCTGATAAAGCGTTTTCATGCTGCTACCGTCCAGTATAAGGGCTAATATTCCGAACTAATTAGTTATAAATGCTCCACCATTTGTGTGCATTGCATAAGTGGAGGATTTCCTCATTTGTATTACATGCACACCGTAGCTGAATAGCGTTAGAGACATGAGAAATTCTGAAGAAACTTTAGGATGGCATAAGCAATTGACGCGGCCCATTTTCTTCAAAAGAACAGAGCAATTCAAATCCACGCGTTAACCAAAATCAAACAACACCATTCTTAGTTTTCCGACACGCCGAAAACGATGGTTGCTATGCCGATTTACGAAATTTCCAAATAAGTCAGAAAACTGAAAAAATCAGGGGTGGCATAAGCAATTGACGCGCACTGTATGAGCCCTGACTTGGTGCATCGGCTTCTACGAATGTCGCAGTGTCCGCCTGTACATCTGCATACGTGATAAGGCAGATAATAGAATAGACCAGCCACAAAAAATGGAATTAGCAAGTCGTGTGGCGTCATTTTTCCTTAGTGACAGATTTACTAGTTCCATTTTTTTTGTGGCTGGGCTATTCTATTATCCTGCCTTATCACGTCATTTTGCGGACATTCGTGTGGCGTCATTTTTCCTTAGTGACAGATAGTGATATCATTCGCAACTAACCACGTTCCAAATGATACTGCATTGGCAGCTGGAGGAGTGGCCGATGTCAGACTT